ACAGTGGGTGGGGAGTGAGGGTGGAGGGTGGGGTGGGAACTGGGAGGAGGGGAGTTATGGGGGGAAAAAAGAGGAACAAATGTAATAATCTGAACAATAAAGATTTAATAAAAAAAAAAAAGTCCAGGAGGGGTAGTTGCCTGTGGCGATGGCATTAAAGGGACCCTGGAGCCCATAGTCAGGATCTTCATGGGAGAGTCTTGCTGCATCTTCAACCAAAAGGTTTTTGATGCCCTGGTCAGTCTTATCATGGAATTTGCAATAAACGGCCTCTCCTTTCGCATTAACCAGCTTGAAAGTATGAGACCCATATCCATTCATGTGCATGTGTCCATCTGGAATCCCCCGATCACTGAACAAGAAGAAGACAATGCAGAGATTCAGGCCGCAGGCTCCAGAAGTCCCAGACCATGTCTGGGTCCTTCAGGTGCATTTGAGGGTTTCTCTTTTGGCTGTGGATGAAGGAACAATATGGCATCCCTGATGAAGAAAATGGGGGTGTTGTTCCCAACAAGATCCCAATTACCAACCTCTGTGTAAAATTTCACTGCAAACCCACGAGGGTCGGCTGAGCCCGATTCTCCAGCAACAGTGGAGAATTGAACTGCAATCGAACTCTTTCCAATATGCTCAAACACCTTCGCCTTGGAGTATTTGGTAATGTTGTGCATGACCTCAAAGTAGCTAAAAGCCCCTGCTCCTTTAGTATGCACGACTCTTTCAGGAATCTTCTCCCGGTCAAAGTGAGCCATTTCATCGGTGAAAACCACAGCTTGAACCAGGAGGGGCCCCTGTTGTCATAATATTAAGTTTGTCCCCTATTGGAATACCAGCCCCAGAGGTGAGGATATCAGGTTTCTGCGTGTTCCACTGCTCCTTCCAATGCTTCATCTGGTCGCTGACTGGGTCCCGGGAGTCCCCCATGGCGTCAGGCTTGGGTTGCAGAACGTTGCAGGAGGCCTCGGCTCATGCCACCTTCTACAGCCAACGTGGCTACTGCCCCTGTTTATCTTAATATAAGAAAATGTATTTAGGAAATGAATTTGGTGTGACATTCAATTTATTGAAGTATATGTTATCAGATGAACACTTTCTTTTTTAAAAATCTTTATTGTTGAAAGTATTACAGATGTCCCCATTGTTTTCCCCACTGACCCCCTCCACCTCCAACCAACCCCCCTAGGTCTTCACCACACTATTGTCGTGTCCGTGGGTTATGCATATATGCATATAGATTCTTTGGTTAATCTTTCCTCACCCACCCACCCCCCCCTGCCTTCCCTCTGAGATTCGTCAGTCTGTTCCATGCTTCTGTCTCTGGATCTATTTTGTTCAACTGTTGTCTTAAAATTTCAACATTCTCTGATAATCGCCATTATCAGGGAAAAGAAATGTTATCAATTTTTCATCTTTGAAGAGTATCCAATTCCAGAGAACGGTGAGCAAGGCAGTACTTCAGAAAATACATGACATGTGGCTACTTAACCTAACTATTTAAAGTTTCTGACAGCCCTTACTTTAAATTATATCTACAGAGCTTTTCTCTACCAACTTAACTTACCTCTGGCTTTGCATTTACAGGTGCTTAACACAAGAAGGATGACTAGAATTTAAAACAGTTATGAAAATGTTGGAATTACGTTTTGTTGCTTCATTTATTTCCAACCAATAATTGAGGGCTGGTAATAAAATATTGGTGACATTAGCAATGTCCATGAAATATAGCACTGTGTATACCAGAAACCTAGGACTCTCATCAACCTATGAACATGCTTTTGTCTTAGATGATTTGCGTCTGTTAACTCAATAAACCTGTCTTTATCCTAAGTACTCAGAAGTAATCAACTGGGGCTCAATCTGTTTTTTACTTAAATGGTGTTATCTGTGTTTCAAGACATGATCAAATGGTGTTTGACCAACTTCCATTAAATCCCACTCCGCCGCTAGGGGGAGACGCAGGCGGGCGGCGGCGGCACCCAGAGACCCGCAGCAGGACCGGCTCCAGTGGCGCTCCCAGGGCCTCCATCTTGGCCTTGGGGAAGGGAGCGGTGTCTGGGTCTCCTTGCCGTCTCCAGTCCCTGGGCCCCACACGGGCGCTGGGAGCAGGCTGTCCCTTGGCCGAATGGCACAGCGCGGCGCAGCGGAGTCAGCCCGGGGACACGTCGCCCAGCCCCACAGACCCGGTTCCGAGTGGTCCCGACAAGATGGAGGACGCCGTCTCCTCCCGCAGCCATGACGGGCGGCGGCGGTGCTCCTCACGGGATGAGGCGCGGGTGGACGTGCGTCCGCCCCAGATCGCTCAGGGACGCCTTCGCCCGTCGCCCGACCCGTTGGCCCGGGGCTACTCCTGCCCGTTGCCCCGCACGGGGCCTCCAGCCTCCAGGATTTGGACACGAGGGCGTAGGGGACATCGAGGCAGCGTCCCTCCCCGGGCAAAATGCTGGGAACCGCCGCGGCGGACTGGACGCCCGGGCCCGAGCGAGGGCAAGCGGTCCGGCCTCAGTGTCCCGGACTCTCCGGACACAGCAACTTCCTGCCCATAGTCCAGGGACCGAGCTCTTGGCCTCGAGGCGGCAAAACACCGTCAGGGGACAGGCCCGACCGACCAGGTGGGGGCGGGGCAAGGAGGCAGGAGATGGCCAGGCGGGCTGGCGGGGAAGCGAAGGCCGAGGGTGGGACCGATGCATGATGGACAGCCTCACGGGCCATTCCTTCTAGGGATTCCTGAAGGAAGGCAGATGTAGCCAATGGACGCGCCCCGGGCCGGACCTCCACTGCAGCCATTGGGAGCCTGGGAGGCAGGGCCTGCCCCGGCCTGGTCGCGCTGTCGCCGCCTCCCGCTCTC